GCGGCCAAGGACTCACTCTCACCGAGACCGGCAAGGCAAGGATGCGATACCCTTGACTGGCCGGACCCAAAGGATTCATCAGCGGCAACAGCTGTTGACTGCCGGGGCTGCCGAAAATGTTAGCATTTTGCGATGATGTATCGCTGGCATCATTATAACAGCTGCCAAAAAGTGCACAGTAAGATAATTTGGCCTAGAAAAGTGTAGCAGCATTATAATGGGTATTACCAACTTTTGGCATTTACATCGCAATGAAGCTTAACAAATGATCATAAGAATTCATTAGGCCAAGTGCTCAACTCAATACAATAGTATATACAATCCATAGCAATACTTACTTTTGTACAGAGTTTCTCCTTTGATAAGACTTAAGCAATGAATCCATCACGAAGTGTGTTTTTCTTCTTGTGCATCACCACCTCATGAAAGCCCCTCCCATGAAACCAAGATTGGGCTTCAAAATTTGGATGCGTTTTCACCCGAGCCCTGATGGGCCCTTGTGCGTGCCTCGGGTACTTGTTGTTATATTTATCACAGAAATGTACTTTATCTTTGCCGGTGCTCAGCGCGGAGAGCCAGACATTTGGCGGCAGGATCGGAGGCGGGAGACCCGCAACCCTATACCCTTGGGCCAGGACATTCGTCAACAGCTGCTGTGGAGGAGAGTTCCCTGTGGAGGAGAGAGTAGAGAGATCTGCCGGTAATATTGCCTTTCCCATCTGCCTGCCAGCGGATGCTGCGCAGCTTTCCATGCGAACTAAATTTTATAAAAATACCGCCGCACACTGTTATATGATTAAACTTGCATTATAAGCCCGCATGGGGCAAAAGTTGTGTCGTAAAAATCGGCCAACATGTGTTTGATTTTCACTTTTAAAGGCCCAAAGAATGTTGCCAATATGTATGTATTTTTAATGTTTACGTACATTTTGATGGATGCGAATAAAAAATGTTGTTTTATGATATACGCCCTGTAAAGGTTAAACAAAAGCAAGCTTCGGCTTTAGTATTTAAAATTCATCACGATATGATTTTGATCTACCCCAAAAATTTCCAATTGCCTTCGTCTGTTTCCCTCACACTTTTCGATTTCACCTGGCCTGCTGATTTCAAGTCGCATGCATGCAAATGCCTTCAGTCTGCGGGATATTGATTCAAATGCAATATTCTGCGCGCGGTATAACTCACTCATTTGCATAAGTTCATTACTGTCCGAAGCTGACCTGGCCTGTATTTGACCGGCTGTTGATGGGTGGGCGTTGGCCTGGACATATACCCTGTCATTGATGGCCCCCTGAAATATGCGAGTGGGTGGTCCATTTGGGAATCCATTATGGCTTTAAGTTCGCACAGCTAACTTGCAATGAAGGCATTTCAATGTACATTCTGAGAACACCGCAGATTAAGAAGCATTAAAATCGTTTGTTATAAGCTAAGCTTTTAAGTTATTTAAATTTAACTCTAAAAAAACCCTTTCCTTTTCAGTCTGGGTATGCATGTCCGAAACCATTGTGTGAATTCTAAAGTCATAATTAATAAGAGAAACCTTATTGCTGTCCTCACCTTCTTGGGGTTAGCCCCTCATTCCTGTTTTATTGTTCTCCGCAATCCAGATTATTTATAAATCGGCTGGCAAAGTTTAAGCAAGAGTCTTTCAAAAGCTGATTACCCACTATAGAATCACCGAAATGATGTGTGCATGCAGCACGGCCCTTAGTTCTGTTCTAAGTCTCATATAATCGGTTCAGTACTTTATAAACTTATTTTCCCTTGCAATTTTAGTTGCCATGGCAAAGGGCGTTTGCTGCTTGCAACAAGCTGCCCTCTTATTGTCTAAGGAACACAACTGCATAAATATATACATGTGTATTGGGTAGGAAAGGCATATTTAATATGGGACATCACAATATTGTCTTGCCCTTTGCCCACAGAGTGACTGTTCTCTTCCATTCAGCTCCGTTCGGATCTATTCCATTCAGCATTGTGCAGTATTCAGTATTCTGTTGCCACTGCCACTGCCACTGCCACTGCCACTGCCATTGCCATTGCTTTGTTACCCGACTCCTCCTCAGCCCCCAGTCGGCAGACATCATTATTCCTCGAGTGGTTGTTGCGCTGATAAACTCGCAGAGCGTGGCAGTTTCGCAATCCCAATCCCGGACCCGGTTCAGTTAGGACAGCAGCATCATCGTCTTTTGGCGTCTTTTGGCGTCTTTATCCTTTATGCAAAGGAGCGGGGAGAAAACAGCCAAATCGAGTAAATAAAAACACAGAAGGCTTCTTCCCGGCTCGGGATGGCAATAAAAAAAATGCTTACAATTTATTGATTTCATATTAGTAGACTCTCGCTGCGCACACACATCATGATCGGGGAAAGTCCGGGAAAGTCGGGAGTTCTGTGCATAAATTTTCATCAGCCTAAAAGTGTGCAACTAAGTCTTTCGCTTTCGTTCCCACGCAATTTAGATGTTGACGCACCACTTTTTCCACTGTATTTTTTGTTAATGCCTTGATTTCGGTTTGTCTGCCCCACTCCACCGCCCAAATGTAGGTCAGCTTCTTTCTCCATTTCATTTCGGGTTGGCTTGCTAATTTGAACCCAGAATTTTTGGGGCCAAAGAACTTGCTAATTGAATTAAATTGTTTCCTAATTGTTGTCGAGTTTCGATTTCTTTCAGTTCAGTTTTCATTTTAATGTTATGCTAAATATGAAGGTGGAAAAATTTTCACTTCCTTGAATTGCAATGCTTTTGGGCAATTTTAATTGAGTAAAAATATATCCAAAGTGAGAAATGGGAAACAATTTACTTATTAAGGCTTTAAATGTTCATGCCTGTTTTTCAACGTCAAAGTGTAAAATATTGGTTGAATATTTATTTATGAGAATTTTGATAGGAGAAAAATCGACCAATATTATCCGCCCTTAATACACCGCATTAAAATTTTATTTTAAGCTAAATTCCCAAAAATTAGTTGTGTCCGGCTGTTGCTCTATTGGGAATTATCTGATAATACCACATCGCCAACAAACATGCACTGGCACAGGCGCAATATTCCGCAAACAATTCATCATTTATGCCAAATATTGTGTTGCCTGTACAAATTATAAGCCAAACTACTGAATGCCGATTTGATAAGCTGATTTATGCTTCATGTTTAGTCTGCGGCTGCCCCGGTTCCATTGATTTGCACTCTCGGTTGACAGGGAAATCATTAGGCTAATGTGATTGAGGGGTGAGTGGAATGGCGTCGAGTGGATCGACTGGTCGAGAATGCGAAATGTAAACACAAATATTGGAATTGCCAAACAAAATCGAGCTGGGCACATAAATTAAACGGAAAATCGCTAATCCCACCGAATCCCGGCTACAGCTGAAAGTGCCCGATATGCAAAGTCAGCTCGCCCGGCGATAACAAATGCGGAGCAATTATGGCCGCATTAAGCATATGCCCGAGTGGTCAACCCCTCCACTGGCGTGTGTGGGGGTTTTTGGAGTGCATCGTAAGGATTTGCATAAATCCCACCACATTTATTCAATAAGCAAGCCACACAGAACAGAGCCGGAGCCACTTGACTCGGCCCGAAGACCACTTAATAATCCACTCGGACGGGTTAAAAGAGTCCCTCCCCAAAATGCTGATTGCCCGCACAGTTGGCATTGATTTACGGGTGGACTGGTCCCAGGAACTCAGCTCCATCTTGCCTCCCACTTGCCATCCCAATCCCAATCCCGGGCCCAATTCCAATCGGGTATGCAAATCGAATACAACTAAATGTAAACACATACAACTGCATTTGAAGATGGCAACCTTCGTTGGTTGTTCCATTTCTATTTTCCGATTTGATTTCGCAAGGGTTCAAATGCCTCAGTTTCTGGGCTGGAGACGATGGGGTTTTCGGACGACTGGATGTCTGGCAGACATTCTCAGCAAACTTTTGCCTGAACGGCTTAACTTTTTTGCACGTGTAGTTGGCCAGCAGAAGCTGTTAAAAGTGATGGTCGCTAGACGGGGACGAGGACACACTTTTAGTTAAATTTGTAAAAAAAGAAAAAAAAACATTCTTTTGTTCCTTGGCAATCCTCTGAAAGGTTTTCTTTGCCCAGAAGTTTCCTAATTTACCAGTGACTCGAGACTGAACCAAGCAATCGGCTTAAGCCTAATGAATCACTCTGCTTGTGAATCTTTCAAAACAATTTCAAGACGAACTGTCCTAGTCAAGGTCCCAGAGGAACAATAACTCTGCACCCACATCAAGGAACACGATCGCCGGTCCAGCGACATGTAAATGAGATGAAAAACCTTGACGGCAGTTCAAACAGGTAGATTAACACCAACCGTTAACGCCCATTTTTCAGGCAGCAGACAACAATGGGCCATAAACGCATTAAGGTAATGGCAAACAAAACGGAGCTAACACAACAGGCAAAAGATCGTGTCCACAAAGTCCCACCTGCGATCGAGCAACATGTTCGAGCTCAAGCCGCGGATCGAACTTCGTTTGTCATCTGCGCAGGCGCCACCACACGCATGGGATCAGTGATGCCAATCTGGGCATTTTCCGTTCAGAAGTAAGCAGGGCTTTTAAGATGGGCATACTACGGATTACATATATGAACATTTATTTTGTTGAAGAATGAAGTAAATTCTATTTCAATTTGACATCTATCAAATGCCTTCATAATTGTTATTTTGCCTATATGTTATACTTATTATAATATAATTATATTATATAACATAATTATTATAATTATGATTATTATTTTACTAGAAAAACCATTTTCTTGTGTTAAAGTTGATTTACATACTTGATGTTTAATGCCATGGCCATAGTACAATGACTTTATTTTCTTTTATACAAGCTAGAGCTTGTTGCTAGAGCGAACTGACAAGTGCGAAACTATCGCCGTCTTCCAACATGTTCGCCTTCGAGCCTCTGCGGCTGCATTTCTTCGGCTCGATTCCAGGCCCATCGCGAAGACGGTAAAATGGGTCAGGCTATAAAAGCAGAAGTTCAAGGCGATCACCGTTTCAGACAACTCCAGCAGCCGTCACAGCAACAGCTCCACTTAGAGCCAGTAACCAGCAATCGCTGTAGTGCCAAGTAAAATCCGAACACTCTCGAAGATCGAAGTTAGCGAAAGAAAGTTGCCATCGATCCGACTATCTCAAAAAGAGAGAGCAATTTTCGTGTGCAAAGTTTTGGGTGAATTTTTAAGTGAATTGTGTGCTTGACAATCGCGTGCTGAAATCTGCACTACTTCTAGTGCGACCAGCCAAACCAACTCAGCTGCAGCTGTAATTAAAATTGAAATTGCTTCGAGCTCGACAACTAACAGACTGCAGATAAATAGACAGGTAAGAGAAATGGTTCAGTGGAAGAGGACATTGGAGTAATTTTAATGGCATTGAAGTGCATTAAATATTAAATCAATGACCGAAAATAAATGTTTTATTTGCTTAAATTAAACCAATCTGACATTTAGGAGGACACTTAAATGTCGAAATTGGCAATCCTCTACTATATGCACAAAGAACATTTTTTTTTACTTGAAAAAACTTTTAGCATGCGAGATTCAACGCAATAAAAACGGTATTAATCTGAAATTTGCACTACCTAATGTATCAGCATAAAAGAACTATTTTCAAAATGCATAGATATTATAAAAACGCCATAAATCAATTTTAAAACAGAAATCAACAACGTCTAATCCGTAACGCAAATACTGCAGTGCGTTCAGCTAGAATTTTGTAGTAGAAAGTTATTGACAATTGATCGACTGCCACTATTTGGCCTCGAGTCGTGTCGTGCGTTTGTTTGTCGAACAAATTGGGGCTATATGGCAAGAGCCAAATATTTGGGTCAGGCCAAAAAGAAATAACAGAACTCGGGGCATAAATCCAGCAATGAAAAAGGCAACAACCGGGAGTAGCGGAAAGAGAGGAGATTTTCTGTTAAACGAGTTAACAACTTTGCATGAAAAAGCAAACAGAAACCCATCGGCTGGACGGAGGAGCATGAACATGTCAAAGCGTTCGAGTCCGGGGGTTCTCTTTTTGGAGACGGGAGGGGCCTTCCATTTCGTTGACGAGGTGCGATGAGGTGCGTCGGGGACACACTCACACGTACGCACATGCACACGCACACGCACACGCACACGGATATGTGCATTCAGCCAAGTTCTTTTCAAGCCAAACAAGCAACACATCGTGCACCGATGATGGCCGCCCACTGACCCAAATGGGCGCCCGTTGACTGCCGCTTCAAAGAATTTCGGTTTTGAGTACTCAGGAGAAGGCAGCCACACACACGCACACACACACCACTTTCAGGTGGAAAGGCCTTGCGGCCGTTTTGTCGGTGGCCTTGATTCGATGTGGGTATCCGACTTCGTTCCGTCTCTGTCTCGGAATCGGAATATCTCTCTGCGCTGTGGATCGCCCAATTAACGCCTGCCTTTTGGCCAAGTCTTTGGCCAACTCTCATGGAAAATATATTTATTTAATTGCCTGCAAAAGGGGTAAACTGTCTGCTATTTGTTTACCCATTCGCCTGTGTGCACTCCTAGACTGTCTGCCTTTTTCTGCCTTAAAGCAAGTATTTTTCGTTTTATTTTTTCGTAACTTTCATTCATTGGCCGTCGTTGCTTTTGGCATTTTGCGGTTGTCGTTGTCAGGCTGAGCAAGGTGAAAGTTTTTCTTTGAAGCTGTTAAGTTGTGTTTAATACAGTTTATGTTGGGTCCGATCGGATTCGAGCTAAACTAAATCAATTTTCCTTTCCATGCAGACTGGATAATGTGTTCTGTTGAGGAAAACCGCACAACTATTTGTGGATTAAACAAAGCGATGCTCAACAATGGCAGCTGCAATTTGTCCATCAAATGCAGCTGACTAATAACCATAATGGCTGTGGAAATTGCAAGTGCAATTGGTTCTGCTTTCGTGCGGCCTTAAGTTGTTTGTCATTTTGCCCACTGCCGACTGGGTTTCGGGGTCAGTAAAAGTTTCCAGCAGCAGTTGTCTCTGCAAAAAGTGGACCGTTGTATAGCTCATCCCGGCCTGGGATTGCATCAGGGCTTAGGGTCTTACTCAATAATCAATTCGCGCCGCTCACATTTAAATGCAGCACAGCTAGTGCGCGTTTTGGCCAATTGACAGCTAGGTAGCGGTTTCCAGTCAGGGGTTGCTGACCATCGCGTTAGTGGGAACGAAAGACTTAAGGCACAAACCCGCTAGAAAGCCGCTGGGCATTCCAATTAAGGTTAAGCACTCGACGGCAAGCAATTGCCGCTCTGCAAGACTTAATTAAATTTTTTATTATGTGTTATTTTCTTGGTCAATAAACCTTGGCTGGATTCTGGGCGAAAAGAAAGTGAAATGTGCATTTTTTGAGGCTGCCTGAGTTTCTCTCAGCCGGAAACCTGTCCGTGACCGTCCAGAAAACCCGGCTGAGCCCCGCAGAATGACTCAGGGCCCTCCAATTCAGCCGATCCACTCCCAGAAACCAAAGACGACGGCGACGACGACGACGAAGAGCTTGCTCACTTACCGCAAATCACGAACGTTTTGCCGCTTTCTCATCATCATTATCATCATCTTTGACTTTGACCAAGGAGCCAGTGGAGCGTGCTTTGGCACGAGACCGCAAACGAAAATGAAAATAAATATCTGGGAGACCAGCACATAAATTACAATGATATTTCTCGGCTAAGACTGCCAAAGAACTTGGTTATTGTTACACCCCGCCTCCGTGACTCGAAAAATTGTTTCTCTTTCTGGCCGTTTGCGGTTTCCATCGTCCACACTTTCTAATTTGCGACTTTTGACCAACGGCAAGTGTAATTGCTGCTCTCGTTTTATTTTGTTATTGAAATAGTTATATTGCCCGCTGTTTGTGAAGATGTTTAATTGCCGTTTTAAGGCAGGCCATGAAAGTAAGAGTTGCGTGCAAAGTTTCCAATTAGAGGTGCGTGTTTTTCTCTTAACAAGAGAGAGGAAAGGCGGCCAAAGATAACGAGGGAACTTGCTAGCAGGCAAGCTGGTAGAATTATGTCATAAAAGACCAGAGTGGCGATATCGATGTGACTAATTTGTGCATCACAATTTCCACGGCTAATTTCCCACAATCAATAAAATTTCTCTGCCACACATTCCAGCTATTAATTACCATTATCTTAACCACTAATCGCTGAATCACGTTCAAAGCCACAGTCTCCCGCTCAAACAGCTTTCTAAATTTACATGGCCACCATAATTTCCACGGAACTGGGTCGCATTGTGTCACAGGCCATCAAAACTCCACTCTTCAGAGCGGCAGCCGCGAGATGGAGTTGCCCGATTAATCAATGGCAGCACAATTTACATTTCCACGCTGACCCATTCTGGAGAGCCTGTTCTCGGCCAGCAATCAAATGGAAATCAATGCAATCTCCCAGCCATTGGCATTCCACAGCCTCGTTGGCTTTATTAATTGTAACGGGAACCTGTTGCATGACATCTGAGCGAAAAGAACCGCTAGCTGGAACTGGTTGTGTATTGCTTCTGTATTGCGAAGACCCAGAGAAGAAGAATCTCCAGCCACTTATATTCGCGATCCCATTATGATTCGCAGCCAGGGACTGATCAATTGGGAATGGTTCTCGATGCTAATATCGCTAATAAATATCTAACCGCGAGGAAGTCGCTGCTAATTGCCGGTACTTGCCACCCCACCTGTGGCGGCTTTCTATGTTGCCCAACCTGCCACTCGGTTGATACCACTGCCGCGAATGCTCCTCTTCATGCCGCGGGTTTGCACTGGGGAACGGGTTCGGTTTGACCGACACCTTAATTGGGAGCAGTTTGACTCGTTTCTAGATGTTTCGGAAGCGAGTGGAGACGCTTCGCCTTTAATTACACGCCGCTACAACTTTCTTATCTAGTTTTCATGGAAATTGTAACATATTCGAGACCTGGGCAACGGGAAAATGTTGGGAAGCACTTGACATTTAAATGCGACGGAAAATAATAATATAGTGCTTTAATAGTTAAAAAGAGAATCACAAGCTTAATATCCATAAAATAAACTCGATTTTCTTCATCAAGAATGAAATATAGGAATGCATTATCGTTATTGTGAACACTTAAAGGTTTATTAGGAATCTATTTATCCAAGTCTGCAGTTGTCAGGTCCAACAACGTATTTTTCAATAATATAATGTAATGCCAAATCTCAATCGGGCCAAGCATGTGCCATCCAAATGGGCCACCGCTGATTCCAATGCTCAAGCCGTGCATAGGTTCAGGAAACTCCATCGCACTTAGTTGGGCAATGTGAAAGTGTTGTTATGCGGATGGCTTGGTGTCCGTCCCCCAATGAATTTCAAATAGGCTAAACCCATTCCCGTCCGGTCTCTTGCAGTAGTCATGTGGAATCAACGGAAAGTGCACGCCTACCTGCTGCTCTCCATCGTGGCCAGCAATTGTCTGCTGATGACCTACGCATTTCCACAGCAGGAGGTCTATCAGAGGCAGCACCAGGTGACCCAGTCACCTGTCTATCGGGATGAGAGTGTGGCCAGGAAGTTTGCGGTGAAGCCCAATGCCTCGAAGAAGGTGGCTCTGGACGACATCGAGGACGATTTGGAGACCAACCAGATCCAGGAGAGCGTGGGAGGTCCCGGCGGCTTCACCTGGTCCAACATGCTGTCCACCGTGATGACCATGTTCTTCAACGGAGCCGTTAACGCACCAACCAAGTCCGATGATGTGGATACTTCCATTGGCTTGGGCGGCAGTCCCTGGGCGAATGTCATCTCCATGGGTAAGTGCCGAGTCTGATTTTGATTTAATGGTGTCTAAGAAAAGCAAGAAAATTCCCATAACTGATCTCTGCCCGTTTCTCCGCAGGTCTTCGCATCATCAACACCTTGCTGGGCGGCGGAGCCCCTAGCGATGGCATCGATAAGGTCGACAACGGTGGATCTCCCATGCAGGTAATCTCTCGATCCATTAGCCCGTAACATGGTATACACTCACTGATTGCTTTTGTGCCACTTTTGTTTTGCTTTATCGTAATTTTTGCTGTTCGATTGTTACCGTTTCGTTTCGTTTCGTTTCGTTTTGTTTTATGTATATCCTATATCTTATACTGATTCTGATACTGATACTGATACTGATTCTGGGTGCCTGGCTCTTCTTATTCTCTTGATTATGATTGCTTCCCGCCTACCTCCTCTACCTCTACCTCGCTAATAATCGCACAGGGCATATTGGTGGCTGTGATGTCTGCCGTTTTAGGCTCCAGAGACCCCGACCAAGTCAACTCGATGGCCAAGCAAGCTGGCGAGGTAAAACATCTTTATTGCTTTCACAACACACACTACACCAAGCAACAAGATTTGGGTGTGAAATAGGGCTAAGTAAATGAGGAAATGAGGAAATCGTCGAACCTCTTTCAGGGGGTAAAGTGAATCGTTTACAATTAATTAATGGTTGCTATCATAAGGTTTTGGAAATAACATAGTATTTCACTATACAATAAGATGAGACACATTTTCTAGACGGTAATTGCCTAACTACTGAATTTTTTATTTTTGGCTTTAAAATGCCATCGGATTAGCTAATCAATTGAATGATTTACACCTGAATCTTGTTGCCCAGTGCCGGGAATGTAAATTGTTTCTATGCACAGCAACACACACTCCGAAATACACGCTCTGAAACACACACACACACACCACTGACACCACTTTAGTATTGGCACAGCAAATGCAAAACTAATTGACTAATGCTTCCTCTACCCCATCTACCCCTCCACCCTATCAACACCTGCACACACACACACACACACTCCACTCCACTGAACAAAACGCTCCCCCTTCCGCATCCACAGTTCATTCAGATCGTGATGAACCTGCTGGACGCCCTGAAGACCTCCTTCTCGCACCGCTCCCTGACCGCCCGCTCCATGGGCAAGCGGGACTCGGTGAGCGACGCCGTCGTCGCCGGAATCTCCCTGATGAAGGGCTACGTCCGCACCTACCGCACCTCGGAGGACAAGTGCACGCAGCGGTACATGTGCGACGCCAACACGGAGTGCGTCCGCGAGATCGGCGGCAGCAGCATCTTCTGCCAGCTGGGATCGTAAGTACAGCTGAAGTGTGCATTTGGACACAATTCAGGATCATTTGCCACAGTTATACATCAGGCTGGGGCTCGCTGGTTGTGCAGCAATGTGTTGCCACCATGTGAAGACATAGTTATTTGAGTAACTTTCTAGTACTTCGAAATTTGTTTTATATAAAGACCTATTGACACTCAAAAATATGCACTGATTCCGTTAGTTTCTGAAAATCTTAAGATTTCTAATCTCCCCTGTTCATAAGGCTTCTATGAAACACTAATGAATACTTTGTTTTCCCACTCTAGCTATGCCACCAGCTACGTCCTAGGCCGCACCAGTGGCAGCAACTTCGAGGAGCTGTACGACGCCGGACGCAGAGGTCGCTCCGGGTTCGACTGTCGCCAGATCTATCTAGAGTGCAACGAGGTCTAGACTACGCAGTGCTCACCCGTCCAGTCGTCCACTCCCTAAAATAATTTAAATTAATTTATGACTTCCCTAGATGCTAGCTATTTATATTATTTATTTAAAAGTCTGTACTTATGGTCGCCCGAAAATGCGACTGGCTTCTAAGTTGACAAAGAAAACCGTTAAAAATACATGCATTAAATGACAGCACCGTGCTTTATTTATAACAATTATCGTTCAGTGTGGTTATATTTTTGTTCAATATTTTGTAGATTATCTTCGGTATCTGCTAGGTTTTGATTTTAGTTTCGTTAAAAAGCTCGCACCTAAAAGCTTTCGCAGCATTCAAAAAGTAACTAGCTAGGTGTAGCTGGCATATGCTAACTGCTATGGCACTGACGAACTGCTTGGGTACAACTGCAAGCAGGTTTACCGGAAGTCGCACAAGCAGTACGCATTCAAGCAGTTCTCACAGCACTGCTTGCACAACTATGCGGTTAGTATTACGTATACGAAATGGTGGCCGCCATCAAGAAATCGGACTCGGTCATTTAGCTTTGGACTTCAGACAAAGTTCGCGTATGATCGAAAAGTTGAGTAGCTTAGATTTCATTTCAATTTATTACGAATTATGATTATTGTTCTCATTGCGGAAAGTAGGTGCTAGCAGTACACAATCGAACTCTCAACCTTCTTTCTTGCATTGTAAGCCCGCTGTCAAAAAAGTTGCGCCCCTCGGAGTTGCTCTGATGCAACAGTAGTCGCTGTCTCGGTTCTTATAGCGTATCAACATTCAGTAGCAGACTTAAAGTTCGGGGCGATGTCACAAGGGATGGTCACGTGAGCAAATCGTGACACTGAAAATAAAATATTGTTATCATACTGCAAGCTGTTGTGGTGTGTCTTATAAATATATTAGTAAGTTTAGTTTTCTTAAAAGCTAGTAATTAGTTCACAGGAATTTATGTAACTATTGATAGAAACTATTAGAGAAACGGAGTTCCCCAGAAGGACTTGTTTTGTTAGGTGCATTGTAAATTGTAAAGTCTTCCAAGAAAGGATAAGGGCTCCCAAGTTGACAGCACGCCCACAGCCCTGACTGCAAAGTTTCTGGAAGGCAATTTCGGGAAAACAAACAGTCAAACTTGGGATGCCAGAGGCAAGGAACTTGTCTTGTCTCGTGCGACTGCGCAGCTGCAGCCGCTCGCAAAGTTTTTGCTATTTTGATAAATGCCACAGCACAGCTGAAATTTATTGGACAGCCGGCAACGCCGACGCAAAGAAAATTGCAGCATGCAAATGCAATGTGGGGAAACTTGACTCCAGATTCCAGACTTGAGACTTCGGTCGGCATATCTGCAGTCGGCCTAACCCACATTTAATGGGCGGGGCGCGGCTGGCTACATTTTGTCCAAGATGAAGGCAATGCTCCTGCTGCAGTGGCAGTGCCTCCAAAGTTATGATTAATTTGTGTGGCCAAGTTTTGCTGCTGCCACCCACCGAAAAAGTTGCTCCATCCATCGGACTGTTTGCCGCCACTATCTGCAGGAGCAGCAGGAGCTGCTAGTAATTAAAGGCGCTTTTGGCCCAACTTGCAGCCGACAACTGGCAACTAACAACGGGCAACCGACAACTGGCGCTCCGACCGGCTGCGATGCATCGCTTGAAATTCCATTTAATTACGTTGAGTGTTGAATATCTTTAGCGTGCTAATTAGAGCTGTGCGCAAAACTTTTCTCGGACACCAAATGCACTCCCAGGAAAATGGAGCCGATGGTTAAGAAAAGCGGCGAATGCGCTGCAAATGAAAAAATCGAATTTGGCCAACGACCTAATTTGCACCAGAAGTTCTGGCCACCGTGGATGGAGCAGCTGTAGCCGGCTGTCTGGGAATGACAATTTTGTCAGACTGCTTAAATTGTTTTACGAAGATTATAATTTACTTCTTGTTTGTCCGGTGGAATTAATCTGCTTCCCAAAATCTTTGAGGGTTTTGGTGAAAGTTTGAATTGCCGCAACTGGCTTATTGTATTACTGAAACCGATTTGTGAAAACGAGCTCGCTGCTCAAAACGAATTACTGACTGCGAAGAAAAAAGGGATATTTTACAATCATTTTTAAATTGTAATGATTTATTGAAAAACACATACGCACGTATGATACATTAAATTGCATCAAACTCATATTGCACAGTCTCGTTAATCTTTGCTCTGAAGCAATTTCATTTACGCTTTGAATGTTTAAGTTTTTTATCGTATTATATACCAATCAATGAGAAGCGTTCAAACAAATTCCTTCAATAAAAGTGACAGTATTTTTATTTTAAATAGAATATTATACAAACTTTAAGGCAACTGAAATATTTAGGAAGTTAATAACATTTGCAATATTATTAATATTGGTCAGAATCCAAAATTCATTCTAATCCCATCATCTCGAGAGTACTAGTTTCCGCATGAGGTAAAACATTTCTCTGACGACCAACCGACAGAGTCATGCTGAAATAATAACTTTTTGCAAACATTTATCCTCTGACATAAGCCCGAAACTATTTGCGGAAAATACGAAGGGAAAAGCCAACCACAATCCACACACTCTCACAAATGTAGTGGCCCACGCACAAACAGGTACATAAATGTCCATCAAAGTCACTGGCAATTATTTTGATATTTGCGCCAGCATTTTTTGATTTGATCTCCTGTTTGGTTTTGTGCAAATCAATTTATTCGAATGGACAAAGTGCGAAAATCTGTTTGATAATCTCAGCTAAAGGACGACTGCTGCAGAAAAACCAGCTGGGCGACAAACTGTAAAGTGGCTAACGAAAAAATGGAGCATGGAATTTGCCTTGCATCAAATATATACATACATATATATATTTGCCATAGGCGCTGAACCAAAATTGACCTATTGAAAATTTAATGTTTGCATACAACAATTTCCTGCACAACAGAAATAACAATGACAACAACGACGAACTGTACAACGAGTACGTGGATGTTCTGCTGATGCTGACAACTACAGCGAGCCGGAGGGCTGGACATAAAAATACAACAAGGGCTGGAGAGCTGGAGAGCTGGAGAGCTGGAAAATGAAACCCAAAACAAACCACAGCCAGGACAGGCAGGACAACCGGAGGATCCGCCGTAGGAGGTTGCTCCACGGGAAGCCGCGCGGGCAGTTAAATCGATACACTGAGCGCATAAGCGAAACAAAACCAATACCAAAAGGCGGCATACAGTCGGAATTTGCATTTGGCTTTCACCTTGCCCTAGTCCTCACCCCCTCGCGCTCCCACTGGCATTTCAACCCACTCTAGCCGCACCACCCCCTCTCCCCGCGGCAAGTGTGGGGCATGTCAGTGGTTGTCACCATCAGAATCACCATCAGAGTCACCAGCGCCGTCAGCGCCGACGATATTGGCTTTTTTTCGGCTGATCCAGGGAATGGGTGAGTGAATGGCGGAGGGGGGTTGTTACTCTGGAAAATCAGAAGGCGCCCTGACATCCAGTAAACGCATTCTATGCCCGCTTCGCCCGCTTCGCCCCATTCGATTCCCATTTTTGTGATGGCAGCTTGGCAAAGTTCGCGGCCACCGTGCCTTGTATCACACGTAAAATGAGTTCCTATTTGCGCTTATGGCATTTTATATTGTTTTCATGCGAGATTATTACCCAAGCAGTCGCGACCAAAAATCCATTCAAATAAATGAAATTCAACTCACAGGCATTTCAATGATTCACTGAACGCGCATTTTGATATATGCCAGCACAGTGTGGTGCTCGCAGTTTTTGTCCATCAATTGACAAGCGATTTTCCGTTCAGTTTCGGACAAGTTGGAATTGCTAAAATTCGCAGATCATTTTTCAAAATGAAAAAGTAAAGTAACAGCCAATGGGAATTCGGCCACTTTTATCCGAACTATTTGCAAGCAACTTTGCGCATTCATTATTGAGACTTTGAGGGCGTGTGAAACATTGTGAATTATTAGCATTGAAAAATGTGTGAAATATTTAATTGGCAGCGCCGAATTTGGCAGGCATCCATCTATTCGTGGTATTTTACCGGCTAATTTCCGTGGTTTCCTGTTGGAGCAGGAACCGGAAAATATCACAGAGCCATTTGGCTACAAACTACATTCCGATGTGGCCCAAGGGCGGGCATTTTGGCCTGATAAGCCAAAAAGTTGGGGGAGCGCAATGTGGGGGCGTCTGGGCCACAAAGTCATGGGCTCCTGAACTTCCCCTTCGCCATTGATGTAAACAAGCTGTCAAAGTGGCCGGCATCTATTTGATTGCAAAGAAATGTGTCCCTCACTGCCCTACTAATTTTAGAGTCAACCGACTTGCGGTGAAAGTCTTAGGATGCCAAAATATATACGTATACTGAGCTATTTGGAGCAGCATATGTTGCAATAAAAGGCTCTGCGGAATGCCTCCATCAGTTTCATTACACTTAGCTGAAGTTTTAATCCTCTCTCAATTTGAACAAAATCTGGCTTAAAGTTGGCCATCCGAATTGGCGCGCATCGGTTTACCCGCCCACATGAGCGGAATTCGATTTGGCCACTTTAATTACGACCGCGTAGGGCATAGAAGAACTTCCACTGGTCAGAGGAGCATCCGCCGCCCGGCGATAAGTATTTTGGCTCTCCTATCTGCGTTTCCCAATCGCAACTCCCCTTGTGTCCATCCGCCGATGGAAATTCGGGCAGAGCCATGCTAGTGATATTTTCCGATACATGTATACGATATATATATACATATATATATTTGGCTGTTGTATTTCCGATGCCCCTTGCTTCCGACACAAATTGCTTAAAGTGGAAAATTGCTGGCGCTGCATTTGCTGGCCGTGGGAGTGTGTGTGTGTGTGTGTGCGTGTGTGTGTGTGTGTGTGGTGCCGGGCTCACGATTTTCCTTTTGGGTTGTGCCTGCATTTATCTTTTATTGGTTTCTTCTATCTCTTCCGCACTCGGCGTCCTCCAACGCGGCATCCTTCCCAATCAAATCAATATTCGATTGATGCGAGTGCTATTATCTTTTTATTATGAGCATTTATTTGCCGTTGCCTGCTCAATTTGCCAGCTAATTTTCACGCTGCCCTGCGGCAAATTAGTGCGACTCGGTGGGAGCGCTGTGATTAATTGATGGGGCTGCCGAGAGCTCTTGTCAACGCACCAATTCGCCATAATCTATCACATATAA